CGGGGTAGCCTGGTTGGCAGGGCGCTGGGCCCATGTCCAAGAGTTCGAGGGTTCGAACCCCGCCGGCCGAAAACTCCCCGTGTAGTTAGTGACTGGTGCATGCTAAAATTCTGTCGAGTCGCAAAGTCCTCCATGTTCCCATAACAAATCAACACCTCTGGGGGTACTGGATTGGAGATCGGTGACGTATGATGTGGCAGAAGTCGAATTCTTGGCCATAGATGGCGCCACTGAAAAACAAGTATCTCACACTCTGTCTTAAATTTGCTCGGTTTCACCAACAGGCTTGCCCTTGTGGCAAGTGGCATTAGAACCAACTAACTAAGAGTAGAAATCGTTCTTAAATCGAGGATAAATCCATTTTTTCAAGGTTTTGTTTAGATTTTATAGATAACCATCACGAAAACAAGGTTTATTTGCGATAGACTTTTTTTAACACTTTAACACATTTGATCATTAAGTTTTCAACAAAAAACAATTTTGCATTTCAGAGCCTGGACAAAGATAAATCGAAAACAAGGCAAAAAGAAAGTTTGCAGTAAATGCTAAAAAAGGAAATTTTTTATAGGTTGTTACATTTGACATTTTATTTTACGTATTTATTCAATGTTTAAAAAAAATAGCTTACGATACTAAGATTCCTACTACATTATTTGCCTTGTACTTGCAGTATTCATTATATTCATAACAATATCGAATAAAGTATTCCTCTCTATCAAAATAAATATTTAAAAAAAAAAAACATTTCTAAACGAAATTCACCAGTTTTGTTAGTTTTTGAAGATTCAATCATAAGATGTTACGTTCAGAGTGTAAGGAAGTAAATATTTGAAGTAAGATTTCTTTTTACCTGTACATTGAATTTGAAGATAATAATCATAACTCTAACAACCACAATATGCAGAAAAAAATAAGTTCAGCTTTTCACACTTTTTTTTGTAAATTTGAGATAAATCAAGATTATCATTATGAAACATAAAAATATATGTTTAACATTATTTTTATTTTCAATATTTGAAAAAGTTATAAAAACTATTAATTCTTTATCATACATATTTTATAAGTGAAATTTTATATTTTAATAATGCATAACATGCATGCATTGAGAATTCAAATTTAAAATGTTTCGTTCTTAAAACTTTTAATTACTAAATCCCTAAATGACTGATAACTTAATAATAATCATATGTCCAAAAATAGAGTAGTCTTTACTTTGTGGTTATGTAGACTAAAGCAAAAAGAAAAATAAATAAAGCACATATTAAGTAACAGAAACGCATAGCCATACTATAGTTTCAGTTCTCCAAACAAGAACAACAAAACAAAATGGCAGTAGAAAAATAACCAGACAAACATTTACAAATTAATTTGTCCAGCAGATGAAGAGAAACAAGCTTTTCTGAAATCATTCAATTTTCCTTGTTTTAAAAAATTCTAATATTTTAGTAAAATTATCTTTCTAGGATCCTATCCTTTGCTCGAATTTAAAATTATTTTCTAGTTTAATTTTTACATCTCGGGTTCTCTAACATATCTGAGTCTTTTTAATCTTTTCTTTCATTATCTAGTTCAAACCTGTTACTCTTCCTCGATTGGCAAAACCAGTCCTCAGATATTTGGTTACTGATATTTTATGTATAGACATCGAGGTATGCACTTGGTAATGAAACCAAATAATAATTATATAACTAATATATAGTATTATTAGTTATATAATTTCATAGTAGTAGTAGTTGGATAATATATATTATTATATAACATATAGTTGTATAAGATATTATTATAGTTGTATAAGATAGTTTTGTAACATATTTGCTATTTATTTGTTATTTATTTACGTTGCTTTGCTTTATTATTTTATGAAAAACATAATATAAACCAAAAAGCTACATTAACTTCAACTTAAAAGTATCATAAAGTAGTTTTTGCAATGAATTTTTTGTACAATTATTTTTTTCTAGTTAATAAATGTTCGGTAACTCTACGACATATTACACGAAACACTTAAATACATTATATCATTTAATGATACATTACAGAACACTATTATTTTTCATTTTATTATTTTATGGCCAATTTTTTAAAATTCTTTTTCATGTAAAAGTTAAAAGATATGTCTAATGTGAAACATTTAAATATGTAGGATAAACCAACCAGTGAAGGAACATTTCATATATATTGATTAAAAATGAGAATTTGAAAGTTTTTCTTGAGATTGATTGGTAACAATAGCTTACTGCTAAACAATAGGAAGTCATCTAGCAATGTTTTGGATTACCTGGTCAAATAGACTTCTCCGGAAAAATTTTTAAATTTGTTCTGCAACACCTTGATTTTTTGAAAAAATTATAAGGTGAGTGTTTGTATTTATATGTTTGAAGTGGAACTAATTGCATGTAACATTTTTATTTTTCTCACTGTGAAGAAGAGAATTCAAAATATAGTTATTGAAGTTGCGTTTTATTTTTTTAAGCATCATAGCATAAACAAGTACTGAGATAAGGGGGTGTTTATTCACTGGATCACCAAACGATGAAAAACCAGTGAATGAACAAGTGTTCCTTTACTGGGTTTTTCTAAGTTAAGAAAGAAAAACTTTAATTTTCTTGTACCATTAATGATGTTTCGCATGAAAAGTATGCAAAAAATACAAAAAACAACTTCTAACCAGTGAAGGAACAGGCATTTTCCTTTACTGGGCATAGATTTCCCAGTGAATGAACAATATGTAGTTTTTTCAATTCATGATTACAAAAAAAAGTTAACATTTTGCAAGTATTTATATCTTATAATTTCAAGAATAGGCTTGTTTTTAAATATTTGTACAGCTTATAAATTCATAAAGAGCACTAAAAAATAACCAAAATTAAGTGTTCTTCACTTGGTTTTCTTACTACTTGTTATTTGTACCTCCAAAACTTTAAAACAATATTATGTAAGTTCTCTACAAATTTTTTACATAATTTGCGATTAGTAACAAATATGTTGACACTGTCACTTAACTAAAATTACGAATTTAGAAATTAATATGATTTTTTAAAAGGCAAGCGAAGCTTAAGTGTTCCTTCACTGGTTAGTTTACCCTACACGTTTACAATATTTTCCACCTTACGTAAAGTAATCATAAATTTAGATAACATAAATTGTAATCACATCAAATGAAAAACAAGTACAAAGAATTATATAAAACGCTCTATTTCGCCTTAAAACTAAACAAACAGCTCTTATAACAATACTCAACTTACACTCTATAATAATACTCATGAATGTTTGATAAGAATTGTATGTGTATTATTTATTTAGAATAGTAGAATAATGAAGTGGAGAATAATGTAAATAACGAAACAGAATATGTATAACACTTAGATGATATATTAACTATTAAACTAAACATACAACCTAAATCGTTCTTTTTGCGAAACAATGAGTTATTCATCGAGCAAATAAAAGTGTTTTCATCTACGTATTGCTAAACTGAAACTAAATATGACATTTTAAACATATTTAGTTTTAGTTTAGCAATACGAAGTAATAATATTTCAGGTGCGCTGCATCCTGCATAAAAAAATAATTAATTATTGTGGTATACAATACAAAAACCAATTTAAAAATAAATATTATTAAAAAAAGTCCGTTTAGTTTGACAATAATTATTTTTTCCTTCAGAATTGAATTATATAATTTATAGCTTATCTATAATAATAAAATGAAGAATTTGTCTCTGCGCCTGGTTTCTCTTGTAACTACAGAATCGTATGTGCTAGTGTCCTGAAATTTAGACAGTGAATAGTATGGATAATTTTAGCCACTGATCCTAAACATTCATTCAAAAAATTTCTATTAGATCGTTACTTGACGTTTGAAAAATGGAGATTCTTTATTGGCTTAGAAATCGCATGCAGAATCGCTTAGAAACTGTAGACGAACCTATTTTTTTCTAATATTTTATAAATGATATCAGTGGCATTTGCTAGCTTATAGCTATCATTAAAAAATGAGTTTTTTTGCACATTAAGATTTAATTACCTTCCTGATTATTTCGGATAAACTTAACCATTTACCTGAACCTGGTGATATAAACGGACTACGTCAATAAATGAGTATTCCTAAAGTTATATATAACAACGTGTTTATTTTGTTTATAGATATGCTTTATAAAAGTCAAGCATCACTGGCTGCGGTCAGTATGCGGGTGGGTGACCACTTTGATCAGCTTGCGATGGGCCCGAAGGTGTGCAGTATTGGTCCTCGTTAAACAGTTCTACCGTAAAGTGCTCAGCTTCACGTGCAAGTCCTCGGGCTACCGAAGCGAAGGCGTTATTACCTCTGCAGAGATTCAAAATTGTGATGGCATATCTTAGGATAATCGTCAGGGATGCTTCCCAGACCGTCGCCAATAGCCCATTGTGCAGCTCTAGTGCGTCGTAAATAAATTACGATTACAGCTTTATAAAGGTGACTCTAAAGAACTAAATAATTTAAAATCGAAGATTTTTGAAATAAAAATAAATAAGTTATGTACTGAAAAACAAAATTAATGGGTAAATAATATGAATTCATTTAGGAAAAAAACGTAAACATTTGCCATACGATTATTGGCGTTAATCATACTGATATAAATAAGAAATAAGCTAAGCACTTAAAACCAAAATCAATAAAGTAATAGTTGTAATTCGTTTAAGAAAACTAAAAAAAAAATTAAATTATTGTAGGCCAATGATGCTTAATTAGTTTTTCCTAATAGCACTACTGGTATTGTGGTAATTGATGCTGTTTTAATAGTTTCATATGTTATAGTATAGGTGTAATTTATTATTATATTAGTTTACTGGTCCCTGTGAAAATTGCTTCAGTACTGAAAAGTTTTATTATAGATACTGTAGAAAGAGTCACTTGTACTTTATTTGACAAATTCAGAAGATAAAAATTTTTTAAACATTACTTTAAGAAAATCTTTTTAAAAAAATCTGATGGTTAGAGTTGTTAGTTATAAAACTTACACTTTTGACAACCGGGTCCAGAACGAAGTTTTGACCAAACAGCAGCTCCAGCGAACGCCAAGAAGCAGCAAAGTGCAACAGCAATTAGCAAACTTGGTCCAATCCATGATGTATCAGCTTTATCACCAGCTGAGTTTCTTTGCCGGATAACTAAATGAACATATTTTATGATAGATTAATCAATAAATTTTTCATAACTACAGGGTGCTCCGTAATGACCACCATGTCCAGAAACTGTCGACCATTTTATTAATTATCATACAGCAACATTTTATAGTAGGGTGATCTGATCGTAGTGCATTAGAAGTTGAAAACGAACAAATGTTCAAATTCTACTTACAGATAATGGGAAAAACGGGTAAATGAAAGCTTGGTTTATATTTAAAAAAAATTCAATCTTTTTGATGGAGTATGTTACATATAAAGGGTGAAGATTAGTCATTTGAAAATACTGTTGACTTAGATGGCATTTTCAGACGGATGAAAAAAGAATTTTTTATTCAATCAAACTGATTTTAAAACATGATTATGATTCGTGTTTCAACTGTCTCTCCTCTAAAGATGGCTATCATAGCAATAATTTTGTTTTAGCCAACAGATTATATCCAGGATATAATAAAAATATTAAAATGGTTGACAATTTAAGAATATAAATAAAGAATATTAAATTAGACGGAAGGTTTTCAAAAATGTATAGCTGGAAAGCTGTAATTAAAAATAAAAAGTTTTTGGTTTTAGTTTAAAATCTTACGACAGACGGCACTGCAGATAGTAATCATGTAAATCAAACAAAATGATTGAAAATCACGTTACAATTTTCGGAAATCTTCTAAAGACTCAATATCATATTACAATATTGTGAAACATCTACTATCTATCGAAACCACAACTCTTAATACGACATGATGTGATATAATAATTAATAAGTTTTATCTAGAGGTTTGTTATCTGCACCAATCATCTTTCGAAAAAAAAAGAACTGAAACTGTGAACTTTGAGAACTCTAATATCTTTATATACTGTTCCATGAGTCAGCTGCAAGATTTTTTCTTACCTAATCTACTTTCTCGTTTTGAGTTCCCATTTCTCGGGGCAGAAACTGAACTGAGTGGAATAAATAAATCAAGAGTCATTTACACCATTCTTATTGGATAATTCATATTTGTCTCCCAATAGAAACGTATTCCTATTGGTTGCCATCTGTAACTGATAGATCATTGATGAATTACCAATTAAAAAGTAAGTGACGTCAACTTAGACATCTCTATGTTTAAAATTTGAGAACCATCGTTCTAATTTAGAACATATTAGCCAAATCTATACAAATGTATTAGGCACTATCGAATTATTGAGAACATTTATAGCTGCATTAAATAAAATGGAATCAAAAATTAACAGGCTTGGATATTTGGATATAAAATTAACTGTCGAGCTACTGAGTAAAGTTTCTACAAAATTCCAATGCAGCTGGTAACTGTACTTCTCCATTAACAAACAGAAAAAAAACGGAAAATCAATTAAGTCCTATAACGTTTCAACCTAAGCTCGATAACGGCAAATAAAAGAGTATAATCCAAGTAAAAAAAAATAAACAATAGGTCGATACGTCCCCTGCAGTTAATGCAGAAGAAAACAATCGTATTTTGAGATGCAGGTTCCATTAAGTGTCGGTAAAGTTTCTTCTGTTCTAAACTTCGTTTCATATTTTCTAAATGATTAGCACTCTTTTCAGACATTTCAGTCAATTTAAAATTTAAGTTGAAAAATAATAAATGAATTAGCGATTATAATATTACATGTATTATAATGTAGAAAAGACCTAAAGTTGGCAACAGTCAGTGCAATTAAACATCCCAAAGTCATTTCAAATATTTAATCATTTAGAATATTTTATGAACATAAACTGATTGGTTTGAATAAAAAGATTATGTTACATAACACTAAATTTTAATTTTTTTTTGTTTTTCATTTCTTCTTTCTCTTTATTTTACCCCGTCTAAACAATAAACAAAAAAAGCAACGAAATTACCAAACTTAAAAAAAGTTAACATGAATAACAAATATATTTTATACGTCACGAATAAAACCTCTAAGTGAGAATATCTCACAAAATAGTACATTTGTTTTTGAAAAAAAAACATAAAAATCTTTATATGCAGTAAAACATCAGTGACACGTTATTATTAACAGAAAAATCATCCTCAAATCGAATAAGAAATGGAAAACAATATATTTAAGATATATTTTTATGATCTAAAACAAGGTGAGAATACGTTAAGAAACAAAAAGAATGAAAAGCTAAGCCACAATGTTATGCAGGATCTTTCAAATATACTTATGTACAAACTTTGTCAATGGGTTGGGTTAATCATAAGAATTGAGAATCGCCCATCAACTTTTTTCTCAGAAATGTCATAATTTCTGTGCCACTAGAAGTGCCTTCCCATTTCATTTTTTTTTTTACAATTTGGCTGTTCATGCGCATTTGAAAATTTAATTTTCTAAATTATTTAATTTTTATAATGATTATTTTCAAAAAGATCCAAAAATAGTTGTTTTATCGTAATTAAAAAATTTGGGGAGCACAAACCTTGAATCAGCAAATATTTCTTTTATTTCCAATGAGCTGCGCAATCGGTCTTGCCGATGAGCAGACCTAGTGCGTTTTCCAGAGGCGGTATCCACTCGTTCAGGACCACCACAATGGGTGAGATATCGTTGGTCATGATAATTTGGACGTCTAGTTTCTGCCATACTAGATGGCAGCACCGAGACTCTATTTGGATGCTAAAGAGCACTAGAAATTTAATTTTGCCAGAAATGCCAAGAGACGATAGGGCACTCCAGGGATCTTTTACATGCCGCATAATCATACGACACGGCCGCTGAGGATTTTCTGCATCCCGAAAATCCGGTGTCTCGGTCGGGGATCGAACCCGCAGACTTGGGCTCCGAAGGCCGACGGCAAACCAACCCAGCCATGAATCAGCAAATATTTAATTTAATATAAACAGCTGTTTCAAAGCTTGTTTGAATGCAATTTTGTACAGTAAACGCAAAATAATAGTAATTTAAATACGTGTAGGTTCGTAATTCTCAATCCTTATGTCATGTCTTATCTTCTCCGAATGCTTGTACATGAAATTCTCAAACAACATGTGTTGTTGTTGCTAATTACCATCTGGTCTGACGGGGTCAGACCAGATCAATGAATCCGTTGATATTGAGAAAATCCGAAACCAGAATGGGAGAGGAATGAATATCGTTCCAGTCCAGCCCTAAACAGATCAAGATGTGCTCAGGTGANACCCGCAGACTTGGGCTCAGAAGGCCGACGACAAACCAACTGCGCCACCCAGCCATGAATCAGCAAATATTTAATTTAATATAAACAGCTGTTTCAAAGCTTGTTTGAATGCAATTTTGTACAGTAAACGCAAAATAATGGTAATTCAAATACGTATAGGTTCGTAATTCTCAATCCTTATGTCATGTCTTACCTTCTCCGAATGCTTGTACATGAAATTCTCAAACAACATGTGTAAAAATACGTATTCAAAATTTTCATAATTTCATTTTTTTCTATATATAAATACAATACAAAAGATCAAAAAAGGAAAAAGAATCGATACCTCGTTCTTCCATTGGCGTTCGCAATGTACGCGTGCGCACCATTACAGGCTTGCTTTTTCCAATATGATTTACGGCGTACACAACAAACAGAAATTCGGTATTTGGAGTCAACCCCATCACTATGAAATACGGTATATAGCTGCTGGTTTGATTGAAAACTACGTGACTGCTGTATTCCGATATTTCCAAGTTGTATTTTAGGTCAGGATCTTGTCTTGGTCCTTTCACACACGTTATTGTCACTGAAGACATCGTAATGTTGACAGAAGTGCAGTTTTTCAATGTTTCTGGTGGCCCTGAAAAACATTTATTAGAAATAATTTAATTCCCCTTTTTTAATTATTTTTGTGGTTGTTTGTTAAATAAATGAATGAAATAATTACGTAGTATGTCGTAACGTTTTACATTTCTACGAAAATCAATTCAATATTTTGGTTTAATAATCTTTAAAGAATAATTTATCAAAAATGTTTTTTTTCGACATTTTTTCAAAAATTTAGCTGTGTTGTTCCCTTTTAACATTAGAACGACTTGACATTTTTGTCTACCTAGCACAAGAACGACTAAAATGTTTTACTAGTGAGCTGGTTAGTGAAAGAAAATTTATATAATAATGAAATTTATATTTATCAGTTAAACTTTAATTGAAACCAATGTACCATTACTATGTATGAAACTAATGTACCATTAATGCTGATGAATTAGTTAAATAATTTACTGTTTCTGACCTATTAAATTCATATACATTCTCTACACTATTTTGAATGTTTTGCGTACAGTTTTCTTTCATAAACTTTGCTCTGATAGAATAAAATATGCCATGATGTTTCCATAAATCTTAATTGTTTAAATATTCTAAATAAAAACTTTTTTTTACATAAAGTAAGTCTAAGGCCATAGTTTTTTTCATTAAAATAAAAGCAATAATAGAGATAATAATACTAGAGTTACATGGAATGCTTAATCATACTTTAAATTCTCATACACGCACTCAACATATTTTAAGCAAAAAATAATGATACATTGAGATAGATTATTATATGAAAATATATTGTTCCGATATATAACGAATAATATATATTATTATACGAAAAATGTTGTTTTAGTATAAACTAGTAGATCATATAATAAAGTAGGCTTTACAATAAAATAAAGAAAAAATTCAGCCAAAATAAAAAATAAAAAAAAACAATTTTCATACAGTTAACCATGAATAATTTACGATAAGTTGTAAAGAATGAATTTTATTAAGGAAAATAACCAAAGAAAACTCATAAACAAGATCTAATGCATAATTATAATCCATCACTTTTGAAAAAAACTGTAGCTCAATTTTAGAAAAGTTTTTCAAAGTTTGTATATGATTCATGGATGGATTGGATCTTGTCATTTCTTTAATAGTGTTATTGCACAATACACTTTTTTTCGTCACAGATAACTGAGTCGTCTATTAAATCAGGTACTTTAAAATCCATTTCCTTTTTTTCACTATTGGAAATGTGCTTCTGATTCTTTCTTGAGATTTATTTAGACATTTTAATGGTTTCAGACGCACTTATAATTTTTTTTCTATTTCTGGAATGATAATTTACTCCGTTTTTCAATATTACTGGTGGTGTTGTTGAAAAAGCAGGTGCCTATTTGGAACAGCTTCCAACTGCTGCTGATGTACAAACAGAATGACAGGGAACAATAATACTGCGAAGTATATTTGAATGTGCATGTACAGTGGACAAAATAAAAAACTGTCCATACTGAAAATCTTTTGATCTAATGATCGGATCTTCACGTCTTCTTAAGTCTTCACATCTTAATTCAATTTTAAAGATTCATAGGGGAAAATCAAACATGTTAATTAATTAGTGCAGACGATAATTTAAGTTACAAATTCAGCCAAAAAAGTGCACTTTCTCTGAATAAACATACCGATTTTTTTTTGATGGATTTGGATTTCTGAACCTCAAAATATAGGGGGTAGCCGCAATCTGGGAGGCTTGGACCCCTTAATATTAATCTTACTTTTTGCTTATTTCACCATTCTCGAAAACATTTTAAGCGAATTAAATAATTTTTGCATACAATTCTATATAACAATTATAAAATTCATTTAGCCAAACATAGTTCCATGCAAAACAACTCTTAGTGAGTATTTACTATTTCTTATTAGTTTATTTTATATGAGTCGAAAAAAATTTTAATTGCAAGGGATACAATTTTTTTACACAATTTTAAAGAATGTATTTTTTGCATGGCAAAAGGTGAGCAAAATCGGACAAATGCTTCCTGAGAAATGAAATTTTAAAAGTACGAATTTTTAAATCTCGATTTCTCAGAAACTATTCGACCAATTTCGCTCATATTTTGCATTTTGCCATTTAAAATCACATTGTTTAAAATGACTTCAAAAATTTATAACTTATAATTCAAAATGTTTTCGACTATTATTAAACAAAAAATTAAAAAACAATAAATATATACTGAAAGTTATATTTTGTATGGAATATACTGGATGAGCAAATTTTATAATTGTGTGCAAAAATAAAATTAACATTAAGGTTCCAAATTTTAGACCACTCTGCTGACCAAACTATTTGGACCACTTTTTCCGGATTGCAGCTGATTTGAGGAGTCAGAAATCCGTATCCATCGAAACAAAGGTAAGCTTATTCAGAAAACGAATATTTTTATGTCGTAACTTAAAATGTCGCCTGCATTAAAAAATTAACATATTTGAGGTCACCTCCTTGAACCATTAAGATTGAGCCCAAGAGAGTGATGATCCGAACATTAGATGAAAAGTTCGTTTGTTATTTCGCTTTTTTTTCGTCCGTTTTTTATTTTGCGCACTGTACATTATGGATAATATGAGCAAAGTGGCTCTTAGAAACATGTAAAGACTTCGATAGAGACAAAAATGTCATAAATTATTTTCGAAAATGATGGATTGAGTCCATACATTAGATATTGTTTATGCGAAACTTTTTACTTTTTGTTTATAAGAATCTTTCTTACCTATTCTCCACGATAAAATTTAAATTTAAAACTTATCGTAAATTTTCATGGTTAACTGAATATATATTCTATATTCCATGTTACCTGAATATATATTCTAACTACCCTTTTCCTTTATTGTATTGTATGCCCAACTAATTTATAATAAGGAAAGATGAAAACTTGTTTTTTTTTCCTATTTCGTTCTCAAAATTTCTGGCTCAAAATGTGCTGAATGCCTCTATGAGATTTTTAGACATGCTTAAACTTTTCTTGTATCTCTATTATTAGTACTACTATTTCGATCTAAGAAGAACTATCACCATCTATGCAAGACCTTCCTTATATAAAAATCTTCAAGAAAAATATTTTTTCACGCAGACATCGAAAATGCACCTAATTATGAAAATAACACGATTATGCGTTATAGATTTTAAACTAACAAGGCATATTTAGTTAGGCACTAATGTACACTTTCGATCTTTTGCTAAAACATAATGTAGTAGTTTGAATAAGTTGTCTGAAACAGCAAAAAAAGGAGAAACTTCAAGCAAAATATTTTTCGCTTTGCCCTTAAGATAATACCAATACTTGAGAAGAAAAAATATAATATGCATTGACTTTGAAATAGCGGTTGCTCTATTTAATTACTAAATGTTCCATTAAAAGTAATTAAATAATATTTTAAAGGATTTGTATCATATAGATATAAAATAATTAAGAATATTTAATTTATTAATGCCATTAATTTTGTAAAATGAAAGATGCTTTTAAGCAACCCATTTAGTTCAGTAATCAAATTACAGATATATTAGCAAACTCTGGAAAGCTAAATTAAAGAAATTCGATTACCTTAAGTTATAGAACGATGGATTAATGCAATTAATCGCATTAGTACTAAAATTATAACTTTATAAAATTCTGTATAAGCATTGAATGTTCCCAGTTATCTAGTTATAATAACGAAATAACTTTATGGAAGATTTATGCAACTTAATAAATAAATCCGCTTCCATACTTTAAGAACATTTGAATAAGTTAATGAAAAATATAATCTTTAGCATTTTGATACCTAAAAATAAAGTGGTTGTCTTTTATATATTTTAATTTTATTAGTTTTAATTGAAACAATACTTTATATCTCTCGTAATTTAAATGTCGAGCTTTAAAATTCAGTTTCGTAACTTAAAAATAAATGTTTTCATTCTAATTGTTCTGTTATCAAATACTACTTATTAATCCTATCTTAGTTTTAACGGAAATTCTAGTTCTCAGAACTATAGTTTTCATTACTACAAAACTGAAAAGTAAATTTAATCGAATAAATGGCTTTTCTGCCGGTATTGTGATAAAAATTAACCAATTTTACCACATTTACTAAATTTTATCAAAAATCTTAAACCATGTTTTATTGTCTTTTTCACAAAAGGTAAATATTTAACCATACGGTAAAAATTATCGAGCTCTTTAATTTTCCAATAGAGATAGAAACACAGTAAATTTAACTAAATTCTACAGAAGGTTTTTCTTAGTAAAGTAGTGTAAAAACCTTAAAACTGTTTACTCTACTTTACTGTAATCTACGCAATTTCATATAACAAATTCCAAAATTTAATTGAAATAGATTAAATCGTTTTTCATCATTATAAACTTTAAAGAAATGGTATTTTCAAAATGCAGTTTTTTAAAATTCCCTGAATTGAAAAACTAATCTTTGCATATACGTGATTTTTAACAGAAATTTTAACAAAGTAGCGTTATTTTTAACACAGTATATATCAAAAATATTGATTTGTTCCTTTTCCCCCTCTAATATTTAAAGCAATTATTCAACTACGCATACCATCTAAACGTCACCAACACTCTTCATATTATTATTGATATTTCAATATTTTACAGTTCAGTTTAAAACATCATCTCTTGACTCACGTAATAAGGTCTTCCGAACGAACCTTTTCTAGAAGGCTGTATTAAAAGCAAGTCATGGCGTGCAAGCGGAGTACAAGAGTAAACAAAGTCAAGTGAGGTTCCGTGCTAAGAACTTTCTACACTTTACCTGGAGGAAGAGCAACGCACTTACCTAAAGGTATGATAGTAAATATGCATGGCATTTGCTGTTCTCCCACCGAATTTTTTCCCCAGCAATAAAGTGTTCCATAATCGCGTGCAGATCTCGGGGTGTATGTTGCGACACTTCTTAATCCGCCACTGGTGTACGAAACGTTGTAATGGCGGTCGGCAGTGTTGCTGAAACTCCATTTAAAGTCTACTTTAGATGGATCGGCGTCCACTTGGCATTCTATTCTCTTCATTTCGCCAACAGGTACTGTGTGGGTCTTTTTTAAGCCAGGACTGCAAATTGGAGCATCTGGTTAAAAAAAAAAAAGATTCATTTTGAACAAAATGGCAGAGGACAATCAAAGAAATACACTACACTATAGCGAAACTAATCTATTTTATTTCTTAAAAAAATTATAAGACATTTTATTTACTCATATTTTATCGAATGGTAGCTGCAGTTTGCAAGTGCTGTGGTGATCTTCAAACTTAATATTCCATATTTTATCTTACTTTCTAACCCCTTAAATTCTTCAACCCTGGTTTTTTCATGGAATTTTTAACCTTAAAGTGTATACTCCTTTATAGTGTATTTTAAACTTAAGGTTAGCACAGATTGTCCCAGTTTTCATGCAAAGAATTAATTGCGAAGACTTTCATTTTCAAACATAAATTTATAAAAAATGTACAAACTAAAAATACATTTTAAACTATTTCATATTAAATTTAAAAAAAGAGAACTCGAATAGAAAACGAAAAAAATTACGATTTTTAAAGTTATTACTAAAAAATATATTTTTTTATGCTCATGTGATTTTTTTATGATAAAATATATCTTTAAGATAAAGATATGAAATTTACAGGAATTTTAAAAAACGAAAATTTAAACTAAAACCCAAAATTAAGAAATCCTAAACATTAAAGCTGTTATATTTCATTACTATGGATTGAACTATTAAAAAATGTTTCTTAGAAAACTGAGATGGACACAGTAGGTCTTGGCCCTCTATGGGCTGTCGTGCCACTGAGTTAAGTAGTAGATTGAGTTTATCTCTGTATTTGTATTTAAGCATTCCAAACTTTGTACTAACATTTTCAAGTAATTATAATAATTGTTAGAGGAATTTAATCTACACAGAAATCGTAGTTCTCTCCATTAGACTTGAAATTAAATTATGGGAAGAACAAATAAAAACTATGTCAAAACTACAATTCTTTCACAGTTTCTTAAATGTTACGATTGATTTCAGTTATAGCACATTAATTAAAAATCTTTCACTCAGGCAGTTATTAATAAAAATAGTTTTTGTAAATAGCTATCTACAATAGTTATAAGGACAAACTAGTTATTTTGAAGCTGATTTTTTTTAAGTTACCAAAATCTCACTTACTATCCCCATCTTTCATTAAACTCTTTAATTACTCGAAGGTCACTTTGCTATCTAATTATTGTGTAAATCGTTAAATTTACCGAAATCTCATTAATATGTTCTTTCATAGATCTCTTTAAATAATCGTTGAACCGTCATACTACCGTCAAAATCAGGAAATTTACAGAAATTTCACTAAAATGATCTTTAATTAAACTGTTTTATTAATCTAAAGTCATTGTGCTATCGAATTATTGTAGAAATCATGGAGTATGTATAATTTAACTGAAAAGTAACTTTGAAATAAGTATCATTGCAAATATACATGAATTCTAAGTATTTTATGTGGTTTGTGCAAACTATCACAATCTGAATCAAGGTTGGCAAGTTTATGCCGAGGTGGTTAAAACCACTGGTAGAAACCGGTTAAAACTGACATGGCAGAAACCCTTTCCTGCCACATTCGTGGCAGAAACTGGCAGAAATTCAGAAAATGACGTAAAAGTAAGTACTGAGATTGACATACAATGGATAATTCATAGAAAAAACAATTAAATATTAAACAAAGTACAATTTATTTACAAAATTATCAGCATTCAAAATCAAATACTACATTTTTTGCACTCTGCAGTAATCTATAACGAAGGAAAAGTTTTGATGCAGTTTCTAAACCTAAACAATTTGTCAATTTGCTATGGAACGAACGAGAAATTTGAGAAAATTCTCTCGAGTCCAGCAGAACTAGCAGGTATTGCCATCAAGGAACAAGCAAGATTTGTGAAACTTTCATCTATTGCATATCTTTTAAAACTGGACCACCATGTAGCAGCTGGGGTAGTGGTCAAAACTTGACTGGAAAAAAATGTTTTAGGAAATGGGGCGATTTGTTTTGCAAAGCTATGACATAAGGTACAAAATCTGGGTTAATATTGGCGAGTTAAATTCTGGCACTTTCTTCTTGAGCACATGATAATTACAATCCCAAATACTTTGGATGCAGCATATAAGCTAGCAAATGATAATCAATAACTGCCTGTTTAAATCTGTGTGTCAACAAAATGTCATTAAGCAATTACTAGAACTAATATAGAAGTTTTTTTAGTTTTTACCGGTTATAACTAGTTTCTGCCACTGGTATGGCAAAAACCAGTTTCTGCCGGCAAAAAGTCAACCCTGTCATGGAGTGTCTATAATTTAACGAAAAAGTGAAATTAAAATAAATATCATTGCAACTATACATGAATTATAAGTATTTTATGTGATTTTCGCAAATTATCACAGTATGAATACAGTTTATACCACAATAAATACAAAAATTAAAAGATATAGTAGAATTTCTAACATATTTCTTACATTGACCTAACTATTACAAATCCTATAGTTAAAAAAAAAGAATACTTTCAAAAGATGTCACATCTTCTTTGACATTTGTGAATACAAAAATAAGTAAGATATTTTAGCTGGTAAATGCCATTCAAGAAATTTAGAGTACGGTCACGTAAGAACCCAATATTAAAATGGATTCATATTTGCCGACAGCCGATATTGAATGGATTGAAATAAAAACGAAAAATGTCGAGAGGAAATCCCCATGAGTTGGTAAAAAATTTTTTTCTTCAAGTTATCAGATCAGTTACCTAAATCATGTTTAGGAAAAAGGTTTTCTGATTTTGAAGGAAAGGTTTATCGATTTTATATTTATCTCTATATATTTTCTCACTCGCTTTACAATTTCATCAGAAGCCAAGAGTTGCTGACAAAAATATAGTCATATAACGACGTTATTACAAAATAAATAGTTTTTCCCTCATTTTTACAAACGTCTACAATGGGTTTGGTTGGGTTTTTTTTAATGGAAAACATGTTTATATGAATGTGCAGTATAGCTCTAGATAGATATGTGCAGTTTACAATCCATATTTAACGCAGTTATCGCCATGAAAAAAAATAAAGCTTTAAAAAGAATAAAAATATAAACAATGTATAAATAGCAAAAATAGCAACAGCAATAGATATTTTTTTGTATTTTATAACCATCGTTGAATAGTCGACCCAATTTCGGGTTTATGACTACTAATGTAGCCTTGTAACTTTAGACCAATCTTGAAGACAAGGAAACTCTTGAATCACTACCCCCAGAGCATGATTTGTTATGGGAACATGGAGGACTTTGTGAATCGATAGATTTAACGTGCATCAGTTCACCATTTACTTCACGGGGAGTCTTCGGCAGGCGGGGTTTAAACCCCTGACCTCTTGGACGTGGGCTCATTGCCCTGTCCACCAGGCTATCTCGGCCAAATAGCAATATATAGCGATATATAGCAAAAGGCTCATTAAAATAGCGACTCTTTCTGTAATGTATATAACGACTGTCATCTGTGTTTAGGCACTGATGATGATGCAAGTCATTATCTCTGAAACAAAGAGAAAATTTAGAATAAACCAAGTAAACCAAAGTGGCAAAAATTGACCGATTTTTCTAAAAATCAATCAATGGTTCAACGGATAAAATAAAGTTCAAAAAATTAAAAGAAGAAAATATAGCATACGAAATGAAAAGAATTCCATATAAAATATACTATAGAAAATATTCTTCCAAGTAATTGAAATATAAAGAATTCAACAATACTCATAGTTTCTTGTATCAATTGATTTTACATTAGATGCATTTTACATTACTGTGATGAACAACAGAGTTGATTTGACTCGATTTTCTACATAAGTCACAAATTCTGTAAGTCGAAATCTAAGAATACGTTTATTTTAATCAGTGTGTAAACAAAACGACGTTAATCAAATTTTATGAATGACCCATTTTTAATTAGTAACCAAACAAATTATTAAGATCAGAGGAGTTCAGATTATTAACGAATGAAAAACTAGATTAAAATCACAATTTTTCAAAAACGCATACAGTAACAAAGATGAAACATAACTATCCCGGCCACGTTTATTTCCAGTTCTATTTATGTATGAATTACTAGCGTTGAGTAGTTACTTCGAAATAACAATGCAATAAGTAATTCTAATGCAGTTCCCCGTGATAACAATTTGCCCTTAGAAAAATAAAAAGAACAATGCATTAAAAACCACATTTATGAAATTTTAAAATCATCCCACTTCAATTTTGTCACCAAAATAACCATTCCCATTCTCGTTTGACCGAATTAATAGTATTTCAGCGATTATATATATANAAATTATCTTTTCTTATAAGTTTTATATATATATATATATATATATTGGTTTATATTGGTTTTCAGAACTATATAGTTCTTTTGACGCACACTTGGAAAAAATAAAAGAATGAAAAATAAGTTTAACCTAATAAATGCCATGCTCTAAGGTGTTATAATAGAATTACCAAATTTTACCAAATTTTCTATCTTTTATTACATAATATAAAACCATATTTTACAGTTAATTTTACCAAAATCATTACCAAAAGGCTTCGTTAAAATTTACCGTGCTTTTAAGTATTTCCATGTAACCAGAAAAACGATCATTTCATCATATTCTAATAGTTTTGACTATATTTTTTTCTTCATACACAGATGCTAAATCTAACTAACATTTACTTTTCAAACATACAACTTCTATACGCTGAATAAAAACTCCCAAGGTAATAAATGTAACATAAAATCCAAGATAAAATCGCAAATTCCTTTAAAGGATACCTTCTAAAACTACTCCAATGGCAACTGTCAACTGTTAAACCACTCAATTGTAGATGATCGATTGTTGATATGATGCCGAACTTATTTACGAGTTATAAGTGCCATCAATAACTCGTTTGATATACAGCGCTCCAGAAACATAATCATGCGTATGGGTCCTTCATTGTTAGCAAATTGATTTCAATATATTACTTTCGGAAAATTAGTTGTTACCAATTTATTATAGGCATGGTCAACAATTTCATTTTACAGCAATAATT